CAGAAGAAGAATACAGCTCAAATCCGAGCAAAATCTATCACAAGAGGATTCGATCACAATCTCTCTCAATGATATGGTGTACTTGTTCCAGAGGAAGAAGGAGATAGATATACTATATAAACACATATGTCGTATATGAAACCTAAACTCTATCGCGATTAGAACTAAGATTCATCCTTATCTCTTCTAACTAACCCGGTTTAATCANCTTACCNGTTAACTNTTCACTTGTACCAGAAATTAGAATCATAACCGGTCTCATTTAACAGATAAAGTCCACCACAAGCAACTACTGGATAATCAACCAAGACGGAACCCCAACGAGCCAAAGAACCGAGATGCTCTTACTAATGTTACTATGACACAAAAGCAAAATAACCCACTGAATCCGAGGCTGTACTAACTCCTCCACTAACAACGAAAGCGATTAGAAGATAACCGGGTAAAAGCGCAGAAAGACGATACACTCATATCCAATCCCAGAGAGTCTTCAAAAGATGAGAGAACCAGAATCTAAATTGCGACAATCCAATAACCAACCAAACCAGAGAAAGACCAATCCATGTTAAGTCAAACAATCCTGCTCCGAACAGTTCGAGACAATGGTTGATTGGAAGAGATAGCGAGAGATTGACGACCCACGCCAAGGAGCAAGGAGCAGATCGGAAGCAGTCCACGACCCAAGACCCTATGGCCATCCCACTTGACTCACCAACCACGAACAAACTAAAGTTGAGAACGGAACTCCAAGTCGGACCACGCAATAAAGAAGAAGGAGAAGAGAGACTCAACCATCGGAAGTCACACAAAAGATGGAGTCCTCGAGTCACGTAGATATGGTCGACGCACCGTCCTCAAAGCCGTCTATGACCAGGTCCAATAACCACTATTAACACTACTTCCAACTCCTTCGAAATAGACTAACGAACCTTGAGAAGCCAACCCGATCACTGAAGAACCAAGCCAAAGAGACAGGTAAAAACGCCTACAACTGCGAGAGACAAGTGCTGGGTAGCAGTTGATCACCACCGACGAGACTCGCCATCGACAAGCAAGCAAAACGCGGCGGAGAGAACCCAACGACCATGGCGCGATCGTCTCGCACGGCCAACATCAACCCACCCGCCGCGAAAGACGAGACAAATTCTATTCGATCAGAGAGTTCAATCACTAGAAACAAACACAAAAGAAGGAGAAGAGAAGCCTTCACACGACGCCGGACGGAGCCGGAACGCCGGTGAGGCAAACCAAAAGCTAGGTTAAATCGCAGGAAAAATCGTCTTTGGGAGAGACAAAGAACGCGTTTTTAGCAATGGTTGTGTGGTTTTTGGCTCTATATCGTGCAGAATTGGTCTGTTGTCTAGAAGTATCCCTTTTCTGGTTCCAAAATTGGCCGGTTAGAAAGTAGATGGTCTTTCTCAAGTTCTGAAAGTGAGTTCCTTTTTGTATCACATTCCCCTAGGTTTGTCTTGCAGTGGACATTCTTGTAAAGTTTGGATGGTTCTTAAGATAATATAGTTTCAGATTCAGATGCAAAAATTAAAGGAAAATATATTGAGTTACAATAATATCGTGTGAGCAACTACTCTGCGAGCTGCACGGACTTGCATGTTCTGTCCCACGTTTCAGCCATTAACATTCTCACTAAAAATCTGTCTTCGCCGTCTCTCACTATATCTTATTCACAGTTATGAATATACCAAACTGTTTTTTTTTTTTTATCAAAAAAGCTTATTTGAGTTTGAATTAAAACTTAAACTTTATTGCTTTTCTAAGGAAACAACAAAAATGATGCAAGTGTATCGAAATACAAGAAGTCTCTTAAACAAAATGTGAAAACACACAGATACCAGAGCTTACATAAAAGACAAAAACAGTATTAAGTAAAAGCAAACTCTTCAAGACTTCACAATGGATTGGAGAGTCTTTCGAGACTAAAATTATATGAAAACGAAGCAGAAAGCACAAACAAATCAAAAGGAAGAACACAGATTTTACCTTCGTCGTTTAGACAAAAGCAGGCATGTCCTTAAGCCAAGCATCAAGTGGCTTACCAATGGAGTAAACAATGAAACCAATCTCTCTTAACTTGTTAACGTTCAAAATGTTTCTTCCGTCGAAGATAAATGCCGGTTTCTGCATATTGTCAAAGATCTTCTGGTAATCTAACGACTTAAACTCATCCCATTCGGTCAATACGCAAACCGCGTGTGCGTCTTTCGTAGCTTCATACGCGTCCCAAGTTACGCTCACTTGTTTCACTGTGGTTGGACTCATTGGCTGCAAGTGAAGCGGATGGTCCCAATCGAACTTTTTCATCGAAAGGTCTCTCTGAATCTGCTCTTCAGTGACTTGAGGATCATAGATGCTAATCTGCGCTTTGTCTCCAAGCAATCCTTTGCACACATCAATGGCTGGTGTTTCCCTTGTGTCTCCCGTGTCTTTCTTGAATGCAAATCCAAGGATCGCAACCTTCTTGTTGGAGACAGTGTTGAACATAGAAGAAACGATTCTGTTCACGAACCGGTTCTTTTGGTAATCGTTGATCTTGATCACTTGTTTCCAGTATTCCGCAACTTCTGGAAGACCGTTGCATTGACAGATGTAGACAAGATTCAGAATGTCCTTTTGGAAACAAGAACCGCCGAATCCAACACTAGCGTTCAAGAACTTGGGACCAATTCTTGAATCAGTACCAACAGCGTAAGACACTTGAGTAACATCAGCACCGGTGGATTCACAAAGAGCAGACATCGCATTGACCGATGAAATCCTCTGAGCCAAGAAAGCGTTTGCAGCTAGCTTGGAAAGCTCGGCAGACCAGAGATTTGTTGTGATGATTTGGTTTTCAGGAACCCAATTGGCATAAACCTCCTTAAGTGTCTGAACAGCTTTGAACCCTTCTGGTGTTTCTCGCCCTCCGATCAAAACACGGTCAGGGTTAAAAAGATCAGTGATTGCAGTTCCTTCCGCAAGAAACTCGGGGTTCGAAAGGATCTGAAACTTGATTCCTTTACTGTTATGCATCAAAATCTTTTCAATTGCTTCAGCTGTTTTCACCGGAACAGTCGATTTCTCAACCACAATCTTGTCAGAAACCGATACATCAGCGATCATACGAGCAGCACTTTCCCAATAAGTGAGATCTGCAGCTTTACCAGCTCCAAGACCAGTGGTTTTAGTCGGTGTGTTAACCGAGACAAAGACAATATCAGCTTCCCTCACATGTTTCTCCACATCAGTACTGAAGAAAAGGTTTTTCCCTCTGCATTGCTTAACGATATCGTCAAGACCTGGCTCGTAGATCGGAAGCTGATCACTGTTCCATGCGTTGATACGTGGTACAGAGATATCAACAACTGCTACTTCAATGTGTGGACATTTCAATGCAATCACTGCCATTGTTGGTCCACCAACATATCCAGCTCCAATACAACAGATCTTCACCATTTTTTTTTCTTTCTCTGCAAAAATCGAATCAATTTAGCAACAGAGATCGAGATTCAGGGCTCAGATCTGGATCTATGTATATATAACTAAGACCGATTCAAATAGTATTCGAGAATAACGCAGATCCAAATAAAATCTAGCTTGATTTCGAGAAAACTGTACACAGAAAACAAGGATCTATGGATTCAAGGATCATCAAGAGAATCAAAAACGAAGAAAAGACCGATCTGATTCGAGAGATATTGTTCGATTGATTCAGATCGAGATTAGCTATAGATTCAACTACATTTTCCAGAGAAC